CCTGACACAAACACTTTTCATAGGACACAGATAAAGCGAGTGAACTGTCTCCACTCATCTGACGTAAAATTTTATTCTCTGCCTCTGAAGTTGTTAAAACCACTGCCACGCTTTTTGATCTTTTATTTTTGACACTTGTCACCTCGTACCATGCTGCAAGGCATTTGGTTGGCTTACTATATCTATGTCACCATGTGCTGAATGATGGGGTAACTTTTGATATTTGGTCATGAAATTTCTGCAGGTAGTACAATGCGCACAAAGCGTGCTCGGTGCACGCTGAGTGAAGAGGAGGCGACTTAATACATTTGAAATCTTAAGTTTTCTTTCTTTCACCCTGCTGACGTCTTTTCGGGATCAGTCCGCCTCAGCTGAGCATCTCTCATCTGCATCTCTATCAACACACAGCTTCTCCAGCCTCAGACACAAATCTCATCTAGCCCAGCGGTTCTCAGCCTTCCTAACGCTGTGACCCTTTAATACAGCTCCTCATGCTGTGGTGACCCCCAGCCAGAAGCTTATGTCATTGCTACTTTACAATGGTGATTTTGCTACTGTTATGAATCATCATATAAGTATCTGATATGACCCCTGTGACAGGTTGTTCGTTTCACTCGCCAAAGGGGTCGTTACCCACAGATTGAGAACCACTGATCTACCATTTTCCACTGCTTCATAAAGACCTTTTTTTTTTTTTTCTCTTCTGGACTTGGTTCTTTTTAAATGGCCTACTGAAGTTTCCACTTAGTATTCTAACAAATCCTTCATATCGTACAAAATAAAATACATTGTTTCCCTTCTTCAGACTTACCACCCGGACCACGGTTTCAAAGTACATCTGTATTACCATTATCATTCCTCTAATGGCAAAGTCGCAGCTCTGGTCTCTTCTCCAGCTTGTCTTCCCTCTCTGCTTCCAAGTAGGAGGTCCTGCTTGGTCGGCTTGACATTCTAACTTCCCACTAGCTTGGAACCCAAAACTACAAATGTGTATACATATATGTATGTATATATGCATGTGTGCGTGTGTGTGTGTGTATGTGTGATTTTTATGAGACACCACACGGAAAAAATGAGATGGCTGGTGGCTGGTGAGATGGCGCAGGAAAAGACACCCACAGCCAAGTCTAATGGCCTGAGTTCAATCTCAGGGTCCAGCAGGGTGGATGAAGGGAAATGATCCCCATAGCTATCTGTCCTCTGACCTTCCTTACACACTGTGGCACATACACACACACACACACACACACACGAGAGGGAAAGAGAGAGAGAGAGAGAGAGAGAGAGAGAGAGAGAGAGAGAGAGAGAGAGAGAGAGGCCAAAGTTTTAAGTAGCAAAAGCGGCCCAGAGATTGAGAGGGCCAAGATTTTCCCCAAATGTTGCAGAGCGAAACTGGGTTCACTGCCACTGCATGAAACTGAGTACTCGGGCAGGGTTCCGTGGCTGTGGAAAGTTTGGGAAAAGGAAGTGACCGCTGGACAGGTCTAAGGCATGTGCCAACCGTACATACTCAGTGGAAGAACAAGGCAGGCGGGATTCAGTCTGTGACTAATGTGACATGTGCTCAGGCAATCCTAAGCTGCTAATATGAATGCTGAGTCTAATTTTTGTTTGCTTTGTTTTTCAAGACAAGGCTTCTCTGAACAACCTTGACTGTCCTGGAACAACTCTACAGACAAGGCTGACTTCGATTTGAGGGTGATCTGCTCCACCTGCCTCCCTATGGAATTGCAGGAGGGTTAATTCAGCTGATCTGACTGGCTAGGCAGGGGTCCCATTCTCCCTTTACTGCTCCATGTGCGCTCCTCCAGACGCTCTGTTGAAGAGGACGACCTTCCCAGAATGGAGGAGGACCGCTCTTTGGTCAAGAGTGTAAGAGTGGCTGTGCTCCTCCGCTAGACCCTCAAACAAGCTCGAAGTTAGTTTTATGTTATGTGTATTGTGTATGTGTATTTGCATGGATGTGCCAAGTACCCCTGGAGCATAGAAGGAAGTATCAGATATGATGAAAATGAAGTTAGAGAGAGTCGTGAGCTGCCATGTGGGTGCGGGGACTTAGACCTAGGTCTTCTGAGAGAGCATTAAGTGCTCTTAACCATGGAGCCACCTCTCCATCTCCTGAAAGCTGATCTAAACCCAAGCTGCAGTGGCTTCACAAGATGATCATCAAATCACTAAAACAGGATAAGTGGCATAAAAAGAGGAAAATGACAACTTGCAAACATGAATTCCAATGCACATAAACAAAACCATGCTAGGGCACCAACAACAAATATCTAGCCTAGTACCTGGAATGCTGAGGCAGGAGAATTACAAGCTGAGGCTAGCCTGTTTTCCCACCGACAGCCTCTCCTAAAATGTGGAAAAGAAAAATCAGCAAAACTTGAGTCTAGTTAGAAATAGTGATTAACAAAGATCCCCGCAATTTTCTACATGGCTAGAAATGTAAATGGTACCCAGTTTGGAAACAGAGTACTGGTGACTTGGGTCAAGCAGTTCCAACTAGATTTAAGTGTACTTTTTGAAAAGGAACTATGACTTTAAGAAGTTTGAATGAGAAAAATACAGGAGAGGAAAATGAAGAGGTGAACTTTGGGAATGATACATACGGCTGCATATGATTCTAGCCACTGTATTTATAGATAGAGGACATTAGCATTGTAAATGCAGAAGCAGCAACAGCTGAGTCCCCACCTCCGCACCATACAGTCAGGTGGAGCCACTTACTTTTCCTACAGAAATTTAAATAATCTCTGTACTTACCTGCTTACCTCTGGCACACCGCACATGAGTTAAGTTTCCTGGGAAGTGCTAGGCCACAGGGTCTAGGTACCTGGTTCTCAAGCTGTGGGGCTGACCCTTTGGGCTTGAACAGGCTTTTCATAGGGGTTACATATCAGATTGATTAATAACAGTAGCAAAATTACAGTTACAAAGTAGCAAACAGTAATAATTTTATGGCTGGGGGTCACCATGACAAGAGAAACTGTATTAAAGGGTCACAGCATTAGGGAGGTTGAGAACCATTGATCTCGAGGGCTGTTTAAAAGCAAAGAAACAGACAAAAACAAAACAAAGAAAAGAGGACTTTGAGCTCTATGTTCTTCTGGTTCCTGTGGCTGTAATGAAATAGGGAGGTTGGGCACTTACAAAGAAGTTTGCCCCATGGTTTGGGATTTGAGCGACGCATGCTGGCCCTGGTGAAGGTGGCATACGGCACCAATGGAGCAAGTGTGGGCAGGATCACAAAACAAGACAGGAAACCAAGCACTGGGACAACTAGCCAAGCTCTCGGAAGCAACGTTTCTCTGTGGGAACCAGCAGGTCCCGTAAGAACTACTAAATTCCGTTTGAGGGTGTCCACAGCGACTCAGTTACCTTGGACTGGGCCCCACCTTTTACAGGCTCACCACACCACGTGACACTCAAGCCCAAGCTTCCAGCACAGAGGCCCTTGGGGACAATGCTATACCCAACTCATGTCATTTTCATTCATTCCTTCATTTGTTTATGTTGAAACCATCTCATTGGCATACAGGTTGACTGTTTAGTGTTTGCAATATGTCACAGACAGCTTCATGAACAACCACTTTCTTGAGGGTTTTTTTTTTTCACTGTGCCTCAGGAGCAAAAAGGTTGTGATAAGACCACAAGAGTGGTCCTGGAGAGGCCTGCCAGGGAGGGAAAACAATTTGGGAGATAACTATTTGTATCCAGCCTAGGAATTTGAAGGGATATTTATTTTAAGAATACATATGTACATTAGCATATACTGTAGAGGGCAGATGAAATGGCTTCGCAGGTAAAGGCCTCAGAAGAAAGGAAGGTCCTGAGCAGACAGTGTGCCGAGCCTGGAAAGAACTGTGGCGTTTTAAGTCTGAGAGTGTTCTGGGGAAGACACGAGGCATGGCTGAAATGGTAGCCGTGGGGTCACCTAGTGATGCTGTAAAGTGAGTCATTTGATCCACTCAGATCGACTTGAGAAAGCTATTTCTGGTAAGAGCGAAGACAATGGACTGACTAAAATAGGTAATGAGACCTGTTCAGTCACTCCTGTAAATGACAGGTAAGAGCCTGAACTCCAGGTACCACCGTGGGATCCCAGGAGAGCCGTGGAAGACCTTGAGATAACTCAGGTGCCAAGTCAACAGGAATTGGCGATGATTAAACTAGTGGGAACCTGCGCTGGGAACATTCTGGACAGGTGGGAACACAGGTACAAACAGCTTCAGCCACCACGGTGCTCCAAGTTTGCGTGACACACGCAGGTTGTTCGGTGAGAAAGCAAACGTTTTAGATACAAAATCAGAGCTGGGGGCCGGGCGGTGGTGGCGCACGCCTTTAATCCTAGCACTCAGGAGGCAGAGGCAGGCGGATCTCTGTGAGTTCGAGGCCAGCCTGGTCTACAAGAAATAGTTCCAGGACAGGAACCAAAAGTTACGGAGAAACCCTGTCTCGAGAAAAAAAAAAAAAAAATCAGAGCTGGCCACAGAGGCTTACTGGACAAGAAAGAGTAGCATGTGACCATGCCATTTATGTAATTGAGAAATTCCTTCTGTCCATTGATTAACCTGGGAAAAATATAGCGTTGTGTACATAATGCTGGGCAAATGAGGGAGCTGCCGAATTTCAACTCTGATCTGGAGATAGGCCAAAAAGGCCATATGGAGAAAAAAAGGGACCAAACCAAACACTGATGGACCTAGGGATGTGGGTCCCCTGGGAAAGCTTTCACTTAGCTCAGTTCAGCATCTCAAAAAGAACCACACCTAACCAAACAAGCACATAAATAAAAAAACAAACAAATATAGCAAACAAACATAAAAACCACTCTGCAAAAACAATAAAAAGTAAATAAATCAACTTTGTGAAAACCACGATAATAACCTCACAGTGACATTAGGTGTTGTCTTCAAACTGGACCTAAGACACTGAGCTAAATCAAACAGTCATAGGCACAAGAAAGAGGCATGAAAAGAAAGTAGTCGTAGACAAAAATCTAAGCATTAACTTTTAACAGCTGTGAATAACTTCCATTCTTAAGAACATTTGACAATGTAAATGTATTAAAAAGCTGCATGAGTATCGGTTAAACTTTCTCTTCATTCATCAAGGATAGCTAACACATGATATGGAATTTAAAATCAAGTACTGAGATCCTTGGTATTAAATGAAGTGAGCAGGAAAGAAAGAGAACTTGAAATTTTACAGTAAGGATAGATTTGACCAAAAAATTATCAAGATAAACTATTAAAAAATAAAACAATTTTTGTCAAAAAACACTCTATCCAATATCAAATTTCTTAAAAAAATAGAGAAGTGACTCCATTTATTGGGCTAATTCTGTAAATGCATGCGTACAGACCCTCTGGCGAGTCTATTATAAGACTGGACCAACCGCTTTTCGGTCCCATTTGAAATCTCTCAGGGCCTATTACCGTACTCTTGTGTCACACAGGTTAATACATGCCTTAAGAAAGAGTTCTGGTAAACAATCATTTCTGGAGCAACTCATGAAGGAATGGTACCTTGTTGAAGACTGATTTTGTTTGGAGGGACAGGGTACTGTTATTCAATGCGCTAACAGAATACTGCCTTTAAAAATGCAAGCTCCAAATGATCCTATTGCACATGGTCCTGAGAACAGGGAAGATAGACAGAACATTCTACAACGATATTCAGGTCTCAGTCTTCAGAAACCTCGCAGCACCGAACATCTGTTGTCACGCTGGCTTCAAGTTATTTCTCTCACATTCCTGAGACAGTACAGAGTATTCCAAAGGTTCTGACTAGCCCTGCTCTGAGAAATAATTTGTGCTTTTCTTCTGTAGGGAGACAACGAAATCCATACAGGTAATTGTGGATGCTTATTAAGCTAAGGGCTACTCCAAGACCTTAAAGAGGTCAAGATTACACAGAATAAATATCTTTAGCATTAACAGTGGGATGAAGAAAGATAAAGTTCTACAACCATCTATTAAGATATGTTTGTACGAGGTGTGACCTACCAGAAAACAAGAAAGCTCTGCTGAAAGTTGAAGAATTCTACTCAGAAACAAACCACATCTTAGGTTGGAGGTATAGCTTAGTGAATAAAGCACTTAATTGAGGCCCTGGGTTCGATCCCCACCATCACAAAAATAAAATGAGCAGACCAAGGGATCTCACATTTGTCCTTGCCTTTATGTTATTTTAGAATCTAATGTCTGCATATTTGGTCATTCACTATGAAGTATCAATACGGTGTATACTCTTTTCTTGCTGATGTCCGAGGAGCTGAGTTTCTCTTTTCTAGTCAGGTAAGATTTATATTTGATCCACAAGTTTGGCCAAAGCACAGTGAAATTATGCTGAGAAAGCCAGTTTTTTCCTCCTGTTTAGAAAGATTTCTTCTTACGTTATGTGAGAGTTTGTCTACAGGTATGTCTGGGCACCATGTGTATGTCTGCTGCTTGTAGCAGCACAAGGCATCAGACCCGCCCCTTGGCACTAAGTGACAGATAGTTGTGAACCACCCTGAGAGTGCTGGGAACTGAACCCAGGCCCTCTGTGAAATCAGCAAGGGTTCTTCACTGCTGATCCATTTGGTAACCCAGTATTTCAGTTTAAGGTGTTAACTTAAACTTCTGTGCCAAAATTTGGAAAAAAAAAAACAACTCCTTCAAAAGAAATTCATAATTAAGAAGTCTACATTTGGACTTCAGGTAACAATGTAGACAAATCCACAATAAGATTTTGAAAATCTGACAGTTTAATAAAGCCAGAGTAAGGGAAATCACTTCTAGTTGCTGGCTGTCCATGGAGGCACACACTTCTTGTCTTAGATTCTAAGGTCTAAGAAGAAAGCTTGCCGTGGTTTAGGCTTGGGACCCTGGTTCTCAATAGAGAAGGACACAGAGCAGGGAAACCTTACCTCTACCACGTACGTCCTCACAGAAGATTCCCCTTTCTCTAGCACTGTTTAGTTTACTTTACAAAACTGGAAATGACGGAATCCCACACCTTCAATTGTCTATTTTTTAAATTTAGTAAGCATACTAACTCTTGTCATGGCAATTCATCATGGGCCAGAGTGTTTTCTTTAAATGGCACATAAATAAGAGTTTTCTAAGAACGAATGTCAAGTTTTATCATCAGAGCCCTCAAGTGTAGTAGGTTTATCTACTCTATTGCTTGGAGCCAGGGTACACAGTGTTGAAAATTCCCATGCATTTATACATGCATGAGCCTGACATGCAGCATCCTCCCTTAATACTGTTTAAAACAAACAGAAGGGATGACAAAGTTAGTAAAATACGTTCCTTAAAAAAATTTGCTTCAAAATACTTTAGAGGCACGGTGCACGGTCGAACCAGCCACTGTGTGTACACCAACCACAACCAGTGAAGATTAGTAAGGCAGCGGAGACTGGGGTGGCATCCCACAGCCACTGTGGATGGAAAACCACCTTCGCCATGGCTTTTTTCCACAGCAGAGACATGCGATCCAGAACCTTCTAGTTCTAACTCAAGCCATGGTGGACGGGAAACTCCCGTGGCAGACAGTAGGTACCGGGCCACAAAGGCATTGGCTTCATTAAGGAAATATGGATTATGGGGTCATTCGAGCCGCAGCTGGGACCAGTTGGCAGCATCAGATCTCCTTCTGTTTGCGAGGCTAGGAACACCTTCTGATGACTGCCTGCCGGAGTGCACTTGGCTGTGACCCACGTGACGACAGTTTGTTAACCATCCAGGGGGTGGGGTGGTCTGAATGGGCCCTTTGGCTGTACTTTTAATATGCTAAATATAACGTCAATTCATTTGAGATGTGATAATACAAATGAAATAGGTCTAAAATGCATTGAAAACAATAAAATCTCTTATTGTATAAATGGGGCTTGGCACCAAACGACACATTTTATTAAATGCAATGTGCAAAATAGAATAAAGTGGCCTCTATTCAAAAAAAGGTGTAAGATGGGATTATTTAAAAAGGCTTTAGTACTCATCCTCAATAAAAAGAAATCTGGCTTTATAAAAATACATAAAATGGACTTATACCATTAATTTACATAGGATATTTTTCATATAAAACAAAGTTATAAAATACTTTTTAAAATGCATTTTTATATGAAAGTTATTCCCGGTATAAATTTTTATAACTTTTTGTAATTTTGGTTCCTCTGTATAAATAAAGCTTTTTTTTTTTTTTTCCTTTTTAAACTTTGTGAGTCCATTTAGAAACATTGGATTCTGTCTCTTTTAAATAGGAGCCCAGATGAGGTAGCATGTGGAAGCTTTTCTTTGGTCCTCCCGGTCTATGTGCCCAAGTCACAAGGCTGGCAGTCTGGAGTCCTGTACGAATCTAATGTCTGTTGATCGGTACCCCTGTGATTATCCTCCCGAAACTCGGTCCTTTCTTTTGCATCTTCCTCTGACTCAGAGTCCAACTCTGCAGAGGACAGCTCTGTCACGTGAAAAGGCCTCGGCTGACAGTCTGGCGGCTTCCCAAAGCTCGAAAAGGCGTCCAGGTGAGGTCTCCTCAGAGGCTTTCCAAAGGTTCCTACAAGAAAAGAAAATCCCATGAACACATGGGTCCTTTCGCTAGAACGTAAAGGAACGCCAAAAGGAACCAGCATGTTTCCATTAACACGACTAAGCTTTTCCCAGCATCCTATGCGGGACTTGGTGTGCACTGTGAACACACTGTCTATAGGATGCAGCAAAGAACACCTGCACACCAGTGTCTTTAAAGCCACCAAACAAACATGCCCATTTTTGTTTTCTCCTGACCCTCAGCAACACTAACCACTGAACATTGAACTTCCTGAAGCCTGTCAATTGAAAAATGCCCCGGAGCCCTTGCCTGAGGATATCTGAGCTCATGATTCTCCAGGACGGGGTGACTGCGTAATACACAGCCAGTGTATTTCCGACAGATTCTTGTCTTGCCCTTTCTTCAACTGTAGCAAAAAACCATCTGATTAACTAAAATGCCTACCCTAGTTCTACAGAATATACTTTCATTTTTTTTTTCTTCAGGAAAGTATAGGAATACTGGAACAATGGATAAAATTTCTTAAACACTTAAGTAAAATGGCTTGGAATTTTTGCTTTAAAAACAAACCAAGAACACAAAAACACACCAGGGCAGGTTGGGGCTTGTTTCTCTGACTGCTTCACTCAGTAGAAATGGCAGCATTAGCTCTCTGTTCTTCCCTCTAAAGTCTCACAATCTACCTATAGGGTTCGCTGTTATCTACCTGCACGGGTTTGCTCTGCAAGCACTGCAGGCCTCTGCCGATGATCATCTCAACTGTCTGAAGCTTGGCTAGGTAGGATGTTGCCTTCCCCAGCTTCCACTGTGAGTTCAGTTAGAAGCCACCAGACGTACGAAACCACAACCATGCAGAGAATACAACTCCACCCCTCAGGCTGCCGGGACCCAAAACCACTTTTTCCACATGGCTGACAAACTCAGCTCCTAAGTCATTCCCCAAACCCTTGTCTCCTCCATGCCACACACAGCATAACCCAGAAAGCTCCTGGGGCTTAGGTACAGATTAAATACATAACCACACACAATTCCCAGCCCTGACTGCAGTTTAGAAAGACCTGCAACTTGGAGGACATCACAATCACATCAGGAATGAAACCATTGCCCAAAGCAAGATGAAGCTTGAATCAGAGAAGTAAGGTAATCCCCAGCTTGATAAACTTACCCATGAAAGAATTACTTGAAGTAACTGATCCTGGTTCCTGACTTGTACTAAAATCCAGAGAGGACTTGTTTAAACACAGAGGCTGAAGTGTGGGTCCCTCGTTCTGAGTGTACATGAAGGTCACTGGCTTTCGTGAGTGTGGCCACGGGATGCTACTGAGGTTCCGTTCACAGGGCTCCTCTGAGGGATGAGTGCATGGGAAGCAGTCCTTCTTCATGTAGCTGGTCTCATAGTGGTCCATTAGAGCTACCCTCGGGTCAGAACTGCATCCTTTTCAAGGTGGTTCCACAACAGAAGGAGATACAGTTAGCACTTCAGGAAGGATGCAGAGGAAGCAAGATGAGAATGCCTCACTGAGAAAAGGTACCAACCCATGTGGCTAAACATAGATACGAATTATGGGTTAAATTAACCCATAATTAACTTAAATTAAGTTGTAAGAGCTAGTTAGTAATAAGCCTGAGCAATAGGCCAAACAGTTTGTAATTACTATATGCCTCTGTGTGTTTATTTGGGTCTGAACGGCTGCAGGACTGGGTGTGACAGAAACTTTCATCTACATTAGTCTTTTCAGGAAACAGAACTGTATTTAGTCAAGAAAACCATACCTGGAAAATAAACTTCAAATGGATCTTGGCCGTATACATTCCCCTTCAAGTATACAGGGCCTGTGGAGCCCACAAAAGGGCAAAGAAATGGGTCAGGGGCAGCGTCCACCTCGGCTTCACTGCTGTTGTCAATATGGCATGTCCCTTTAAGAAACAAACCTCAGTCACTGAACTGGTATTAAATGTCATTCAACATTTGCTCTGGTTCTGCATTTTCCATATTTACAGAAGAAAATTTGGCTAGGATGTAGTAAGAAAGAGAAAGTACACACATACATAGGAATTTTTTTCCAGTTTCTTGAGGCCCATGAAGCTGAAACTGTAATGGTCCATTAAAAGCTATTCTTGGATCTGGACTATAAATGTTTTAAATTGCGATCCACCAATCAGGGCAGCTATAGTTAACTCCTGATAAGCACTGAGCTAAGTGTGCCAACCTTATTGCTAGCCCCGTTTGGATTCTAATGGAAGCGGATCGATGAGTACAGCCATGGTTTGAACGCTCAGCACTATGGCCTTCTGTGAAATGTTCCAGATGACCAGACTCAGTGACTAGTAGCCGTAGTATCATACCTCAAAGCCGAGTCAAAAAACCAAGCCAAACCAAAACATCTCCCGGTAGCTCAATTAAACATATGGAACAATGAAACAGTTAGCAGTGGACACAGCAGTGGGAGGATTACGGAGATGGTCTCAGAGTTGTCACACATGATAAACAGTTAGCAGTGGACACAGCAGTCCACTGGGAAGTACTCGCCTCACTGGTGACTAAACTCTGAAGCTGAAAACAAGCATGCTTCCTTCCCAGTTATGCAGTCCGGTAGAGAGCAACTATAAATACTCAATAAAGGTGCATACTAAAAGAGAAAATGCTGAGAAAAGCCCCAGCAGCTTTTCACAGGTAGAGTCATTGGCATGTGCCCAACACCATGTATATATTTCCCAGTCTTCCTGTAAACCACCTATCTGGGAAGTGCTCTGATTGCCTGTGTACACCGGGAATGTGTCTGGGCTGAGATGCTCCTGCACCACGGTTTCTCCATCTTTAGTATCAGACATAGAAGGCACCCACAGCAGCGACATCAGCTTCCCCCCTGGTCGTGTTTAAGATACCTGGCCTCTGTCACCATGCAAGAAACTCCAACACGGGACACTCGGCGCCAAAGAGCATTCACAGTGCTAAGGGAAGGGGACATCCTCGGATAAATTAAATTCGACCTAATTTGCCTATTTTCTCTTACCATGAAAAAGTGTTTTTCAAGAATTTAACAAAAGGATAAAAAAATGTGTGTGTGTGTGTGTGTACAAGTGTGTGCACACACGAGCTTGCACACTTGCACATAAAACAGCAGATGCCCTGGAGCTGAAATTACGGTAGTTGTGAGCCACTGAGAAGCAGAGCCAAGCCCTCCAGAGGAGCACTTGTGCCATCTCTCCAGGCTCCAGACACTGGAATTTTGTGGGGACTTCCATGAATCTGTAGAGCGCTTCCGATAGCAATTTTCCTTCCATCTTAATCCTTCCAATCCACGAGCGTGGGAGATCTGTTGGTTTTCTACTATTTTCTTCAGTTTCTTTGTTCTGTGTTTCCAAGTTTTACTTGTGCTTGTCTTTCTCTTTGTTTAGATTTGTTCCCCGAGCAGCTATAAAAGGGCACTATTCCTACTCAGAGGGGTCAATTCTCTTTCTCTGAGGTTGATTCTCTCTTTCTCATGAGCACCTTCCCACTGTATCTAGTCTTTAAGAAAACCTTAATATCCATTCTGGAAAAACAGTAAGCAAAGGTGGGGGTGGGGGAAAGGATGGGAAGAGAAGGGGAAGAGGGGGAGGGAAGGGGAGATGACAGAGGATAGGGTGGGGGAGAGAACTGTAGTTTTGCTAGCAATCTTGGGCTAGGGCCTCATCACCGTCACCAATTTCTTCTGAAAATTACTGTTACATCTGGGACGTCCCCCGTGACTTTAAAACAACAGTCCCTGGACATCTTAGACTTACCAGCACTGTCGTGTTGCGGTAAGAAAAACCCGCCCGAAGAAGTAAGGAACTGGTGGTGACTTCCGTTTTCCGAGGAGATGTATCCATCCTGTCTGTCAGCTAACGTTCCCTGAGAGGACAGATAACTAGGGATATCGGCCGGCAAGTTGGTCTCATCTGTAATCAAACAACAGCATCCATGAGGAGTCTTGCCCCGGAGCTGCCCGCTGCCCGCACTGGTCTGCTTTCTGTAACACCAGTTAAGGGACAATCTATTCTGGAAAAACCAGGAACGGCCCATGGCTGCTTTTCAGCTTTGGGCCCGAGTTAATTTTCACTTTATTGCCCACGAAATACACCCTTGCCCAAATTTCAAAACCATATGTTCAAAAGGTAACGAGTCAAAACCATAAATGGAGCCCTTGGATCGCTCTCATCTCATCAGTAGCAGAAGGTGCAGGCAACCCTCACGACAAAATCCTGCTGGGCTGTGCGCATGCGTACACAGAACACGAAGAGCTGCCACTAGAGGGTGAGCCAACTACCTCGCTACTGCGGCTCCTGCCTCCTTGCTTGCATCCATTCTGAAGAGGAGGGATTTCACTGTGCTTTGGGTTTTATCTCTCCGCCATCAGGATATCCTGATGAGGTTTTAGTAAAAAAAGATTAATCTCTGCGCACTGGCGTTATTTCAGGCTGGGGTGTCATTTTTAGCTACCCGCATTCCTGCAGCTCACAGCAAATGAGTCACCCTTGTGAGAGGGACTCAGACCGTGAGACAGCCCCTAGAAGAGCCTGCCTAGGAAACCACAAATCCACATGACTCCCACAGCCCCGGCCAGGCTGCTGTTTACACACCTGTGTTAGTAATGCTGCAGTCTTCGTTCCTCCGCCTCGTGTGGTAGATGATGACCACCCACACGAGGGACGTGCCCACCACACAGCAAACCACGGCTATGATCACGACGCCCACGGTGGCCCAGCCGTCATCGTCTAAGGACGGGGCGGTCATGTGCGGGGAGTCGCAGGTGGGAGTGGGAATCACGCTGAGGCGCATGTTGCCTCTCTCGGTGCCGAGGGTGTTGGACATTTCACACGTGTACTTCCCGGCGTCGCTGACGTCCGAGTCCACAATAATCAGCAGCTGATTGCCTGCTGCAAAAAAGTGCCTCTCGGTCACCACCAACGGGCTGTCATCTTTCGTCCAGTTCAGCCTGGGGGGTGGACTCCCACCAGCGATGCACTGTAGGACCGCCGTTTCTCCCTTGGTGACAGTTCTGTCTAACAGAGGCCGCAGAAATGATGGAGTCTCTGAAAACACAAGGTTTGAGATTTCCTAGATGAAAACCGGGTTCCATTTAAGAGCTCACAGGGGAATTTATTCAAATCTTATACCCCTACAGCTCATTGAACAGGTGTATTAAAGAGCCCCCAGTCAAGGCAACCTCGGATCATATCACCCATTCCACCAGGGAAATCTATGAGTTTTTACCTCACCCTCCCTCATAATGTTCCAAAGCTAGTAATTACTGGAAGATAAAATATTATTTAATCTAGAAAATTGGTAAAAAAAATATTAATTTCATGCACAAGGCTGCTGATACGTTGACAAAGGCAAACACTCTTTAGAGATTTCCTTTGATTACTTGTAACTGTGTATTTGACATGTATGTGTCTGTGTGTGGAAAGGTGTGTGCTCTGTGGAGGCCAGAGGGGGTAGGTTCCCTGGGGCTGGAGATAAAGGCAGGTGCAAACTGACACTGTGGGTGCTGAGAACCAAAGGCAGGTCATCTGAAGCGGGACATACTCTTAACCATCCCCATGTTTATTTCTTTAAAATGAAGTTTCTCATGCCAGAGACCTTGAAAGGCCTTCCTGTTTCCTGACATCTTGGTAGGTTACTATAGCTCTCCTAGAGACCTGGAGACCCTAGAGATCCGAATCTGAGAAACACCTGTTTAAGTAGGTGGTAAGAATTCCACAGAGGCATGGGAGGCAAAGGAAGGGGACGGGTCTTCCCTGTCTATCTAGAGACACTTTCCTTCATACTTTTTACAACGCTGAGCTGTCCAATGGTTGTGAACAATGCCTGCCTATGAAGACAAGACTGAAGGCTGTACTCGGAGTGAAGGGGGCAGAGTCATCTCCCTGGTCACAGGCCTGAATATGTAAAATGTCTCCTGGCTTCAAAGCTACCCAGAGGCAGCTCTTTTAAAGACAGAACTCTCTGTGTCTTCATCTGCCTCATCCCCCAGCTGCTTCTAACAAGAAGGGTCTCTGGGTGAGTCGGGGCATTCGAGAGGGGCTCAGAATCTTAGGAAAGCACCTGCCTTACCTAGCACCGTCAGGGTGGCGTTTGCAGAAACGCTGCCAGCGCTGTTCTGAGCCGTGCAGCTGTACACGCCAATGTCCTCGATCTTCACATCCACTATGAAGAAGACTTCGTCCTCAGGCATCACGTGCATTCGCCTCTCCCGGGCAGCGGGGAAGTCTGTGCCTCCATCCTTCTGCCAGGCTATCTGTGGGGCCGGGTGTCCCACAGCAGCACACTCCAGGCGGGCCATGGCCCCGGCGCGGATGGTGAGGTCCATGGGGGTCTTGGTGAAGGAAGGCAACACTGAAACCACAAGAGCCATGCAGTTGACATTAGCGTTCCAAGGGTCATCTGTCCCGCCCCACTTCCAGGTACTCAAGGAGATACGGGACTTAGGTAAGGCAGGGTTAGTACTCTAAGACAGAGAAGCTAAACTTGAACTGGAGAAACGGAATAGCTTGCTCCGGGCTACACAGGCTCAGTTGGGACGGAGTCAGAATGACACTCGGGTCACAGGATCTTTGGACGGGAGATCCTCCCGGCAGGCATTCTCTGGCCACATTTTAGCTTTCTCAAAAATTAACTGTGAGATCTTGGGCAAATCAGTCAATCTCTCTGCACTGTGACTTCATCTATTCTTCCCCAGTCCGACAGGACCTAACATTTGGTGACTGCGTCCTGTTCTACACTTTCAGTTCCCCTGTGTGCCAGGCCTTAGCAAGGGCTTGCTCAATAAACTCATCCTCTGTCAGGCAGACATTAACAGTTAAAGCAATAAAGTGGAGAGCATCCAAAATACAATCTTAGAGCTGCAGAACTGTCTGCCTGCCACGCAAAGGATGCTACAGCACCGCTGCTTACTCACAGTGGCCACTATGGATGCATTTACAGAGCGCTACCCAAACTCCAAGGTGCGCTGCCAAGCTGCCGACACACACATTGTCTTATTTATGGGTCACGGCATTTCTAAGAAGTGGCACTTGGCATCTCTTTTTATTTTATTTTTATGTGCATTAGTGTTTTGCCTGCATGTGTGTGTGTGTGTGTGTGTGTCTGTCTGTGTGAGGGTGTCAGAACCCCTAGAACCAGAGTTACAGTCGTGAGCCGCCACGTGGGTGCTGGGAATTGAACCCTGGTCCTTTGGAAAAGCAAACAGTGCTCATAAACACTGAGCCATCCATCTCTCCAGACTCCATCTCTCCAGACCCCATCTCTAGTTGGAAGATACAGGTACAAAGGTAAGACACTTGGTGAGAGCCGTAACTATGTATCAGGAGTGACAGAATTCACACCCAGAGCTTTTAAAGGCAGCATGCTCTGTGGTCCCACACATCACCGTGCCCCAGAGAGAGAGCAAAAGTATCTGGTTCATTTTAATTCTGGTTCATTTTGCCATATCTAGAGAGGCGGATCTAATAAATCATTACTTTAGATACGAATAATAAAGAATAGCAATTTTCTGTAGCTAGGTGGGAAACTATAAGATAAAAAGCACGGGTTGGTGGGGGAGAGAGAAGGGAAGGGGAGGAGACAGACACTGTAACTATTACTAAACGGTATCTTTTATCACTAGAGGGAAGTGGATCACGCACTGTTTACGGTGAGCTTGGCTTTGACGGAGTATGATGACCCGAAGTGGTTGGAGATGATGCACTGGTACTTCCCCTCACTGGCGAAGGCCACACTGTGCAGCCTCAGGATGGTGGTGTACTCCATCACCTCGCCTCCCTGGGCCCGGAGGTGTGCATAGTTCTCCATTTCAGCATCCTGCAGCAGTTCGTTGTCTTTTTTCCAAGCGAAAGTCATCGGGGAGTCACTGCTGCTGGCAGCTGAGCAGGTAAAACTCACGTTGGAGCCTTTTATTGCTGACTGCGTTTCTGGTTGAACCGTGATCTGGGGTTTGGGGAAATCATCTGTTTAAAATGGAGAAGGAGGAAACAAAATGATGTGAGGGGCCTCAGAGTCCACCACCGCTCGAATGCCAACAACAGGAAACCAAGCAGAGGGCAGCTCGGGGGTGACCCCAAGCCTGTGTTTTATAGGCACATCGGCGGTCCCAGGAATGAGCAACAACCTGGGAGAAGGCTCAGAGGTAACCTGCCCGGGTTCAGTGGAGTAGAAGGCGCCGTTTTCTAACCGAGAGAAGTGGTACCTTGAAACGGTCGTAGACGTTTATGCCACATGTCTGGTATTTCATATACACATAAGAAGAGAGGTTAAGGAGGCACAAGGGAAATCAGACCGTATTTAAAACCGATGGATGCAGGGGTAAGGCTGGCCGACAGCAATTAAGTGATTGTTTTAAAAGAGCCCACGGAGAGGACTTGCGATGGTCCCAGCAGAAGGAAATGATTTAAGTTAGAGGTGATGGATCTACTGGGTAGCAGCCAATCTGCTCACAGGACATCTTTGTGTACCAACTGGCCACAGTGCACTCGTACACAAGGATAACTAACATAATCACCATATCAGTTACCATTCAATGAAAGAATATTTTTTTAAGGAAGAAAGAAAAGCAGTTTTAAAACTTCTAGGCTCATAGATGATCTTTGAACGTTATTCTCAGTGTCTACAATCTTTGCTCAGGCCCTCCATCCAAAAGAGCAACCAAACCATAAGCAAGGCAACATCTGCGAATCATCAAGATGGTAACAAGAGCCGGCTGCTCTTGCAGAGGACCTGGGGTTTGTTCCCAGCACCACAGTGCTCAGCTCATAACTGCCTGTATCTACGATTCTGATTCCTCGTCTGGCCCTCTGGGCACCTGCGTACGCCCAATGCACAGACAGACAAATCGGCCGACAAACCGGCAGACGCATATGTAGGTAAACTAAGAAAAGACAGTAATGAACAAAAAGCAAACAAACCCAAAAAGCCCAAAATAAATCAAGCAATCGAAAAAGCATGTGCGAGCTAGCGCGCTGGCTGGGGCCTGAAGTGGGGCAGCCCATCAATCACGCTGCCGCGCGCGCAGCCTGTCTGGTTACATTATAATTAGAGCCGGGCAACTCCCCGTTCTAAGCAGTTATTTTTAGTTCTCTGTTACTTTTTGGAAGAGTTACCTTTTTTGAACTTCATTTTCTCAGAGATGGCCTAAATAAACCCTGCAGGAAGCTACCAGATCTTCTGGATAATGGCTGATCTGAAAACACAAGTTTGGGGCCATGAACGGAAGCAGAGTGCTTCCCCAACCACGGCTTGGCTGCCTACTTCCAACCCTACGCCTGTGAGTTGTTAAATAGGACAGTTGCGTCTGTGTGATTTTTTAAAAAATTCCATCCCATAAATCAATGTTCGGCTTCACAATGGGGAAGGAAAAGAAAGAGACTAACAGGGCAGACGATGCATATGGGGTTGTCTCACAGTACCGGGGTTCGTACATCCTGGCCAGAGAACTGCGAGATAGAGTATGGAGAAAGAGTGAGAGGCCCTTGTGGATGATCGCCAAAAGCTTATTTGGTTCCAAAGCCTACATCAGAAGTTTTATTTTTAAAAATTGCTGGCAGCATTACATTCTGCAACCTTCTATCAGGCAAAGCAGTATATAATCAAATTTTAAATGATGCCAGGATAAAATGTGAATCTATAGTTTCTTCTCACACATGCTTAAATTCAAGCAAATTTTGATTTTGTGTTTTATACACACATTTATTTTTGTAAAGGTTTCCAAGGCAGCTAAGAGTAAAGAACAGTCTGGTAGCTATGACAGAAAACTGTATCAGAGATGGAAACTTTATTTTATTTTATTTTAACCACAGTCTGTTCCTAACTAGCCACAGGAATTCTGGGTAAGACGACTTCAAATACTGAGATTTTTGGTTGCTAAGACAATGGATCTTAAAATGATTTACAATGAATTCAAACTTGCCCTTCCTCCTGACGCTTTACCTGACAACAGTTAATGTCTCAGCAACCGTAATTCCTTGGCTACTGAAGTTTCTTTCCTCCAAGCCTCTCAACAAACCCCAGCAAACTGCACAAAGGGGCCACAAGTGCCGCCATCTTGGATGCGAGAGGAGCTTAGTGCTGGCCTCGCCCCTTCCTGAGAGTGGTAGGCATTTATGGTTGCTGAGGAAGGGGGAGTCGTATAGCTATAGTGCACTGCCTGTTCATGAGTAAATAATATACCCAAACATGCGCATATAGACCACGCTTATTAAACACAGTGGGTCACCAAAAAGGGGGTTTGGTGGAAGAGGACAAAGAGCTGGCAAAGGGCAATGGTGAAGTTTTTACATATATAT